TTGAACCACTATGTTTCTACAGAAGACCAGAATGGACAAACCAAACACTGGCTCTGAATAGAGTCATTATATTTTTTTTTGCGTGTTTCCCGGCCACTGTTGATTCTCCTACATGTTTGGAAGGCAGAGCTGTACTCAGCTGGTTGCAATCTGCAACCTCACCACTAGATGCCACTAAAATCCCTTACACTGGTCTTTTAAGGCATGTAAGAGAAAATATCCTTTGCTGTGTCTTTTTCAAAATGCAGTCAGTGTTGAGAGACTACCTTTGAGTGAGATCTGCACGCCAAGAAATTGAAATTGTTGTTTATGCACAGACTGTGAGAGAGGTTTCAGCTCCTCCATCTCACTCCTATGGTGTCATCTGCACACTTAATAAAATGGTTGTTCTGGTATTCATGTAAAGGAGTGAACTGGGACAGCAACTCTCTGTAGCGCATCTGTGCTCAGATTGTCTACTTGAGGGATCTCTGGTTTATTGATCATATATTGATTGTTTCCTCCTTTGTCTGAATCTCCAACAGGTTTCTGGAAGAATGTGAAACTGGAGCTGCTGAGACCCTGAAGCACCACCTCCTTCGCTGACTCAGACAGCTATGTCCAACACAGGAACCTGTACCGCAGATAAACATTAGTAGGTGAGACTTCCTGCCGTGGTTGACCCTGCCCTGGGTGAGGGGGAACTCCATGGTCTGGCTCATCCCGTCCTCGCCACACCACTGCTGCAGCCACTTGCCTGTTGATTGTGCGATCATATTACGCTCCCTTTCCCTACAGCTCAACTTACCGCAAAATGGCGGAGGGTTTGAAGCCCCCGAGCATCACTGGGCACTGTTTCCTCTCTTTACTGATGCTTAAGAGCTGCTGGCTGCTAGGTGCCACCTCCCAGAAGCCCACCGTGTTGACGGACTCCCAGCAGCCCCAGCAGGAGTATGCCCACTCCATCCGGCTGGATGGCGACATCATCCTGGGCGGCTTGTTCCCAGTGCACGCCCGCGGCGAGAGGGGGGTTCCCTGTGGTGAGCTGAAGAAGGAGAAGGGTATCCACCGGCTGGAGGCCATGCTGTTCGCCATCGATCTCATCAACAAGGACCCAGAGTTGCTGCCCAACGTGACGCTTGGGGCACGTATCCTGGACACGTGTTCGCGTGACACCTATGCCTTGGAGCAATCACTCACCTTTGTCCAAGCACTCATTGAGAGGGATGGCTCCGACGTCCGCTGTGCTAATGGAGATCCACCCATCTTCGCCAAACCAGATAAAGTGGTGGGCGTCATTGGGGCGTCGGCCAGCTCTGTGTCGATCATGGTGGCCAACATTCTGCGCCTGTTCAAGGTAAGAGAATGCTGTCAGGTGACGTTTCTATTGTCTGAAGTTGAATTTCGTGCTTGCTGCTGGACTGCAGCTCACTGTGACTAAACTTTGGTTTGTCGCCGTTGCCGTGACGAATGACAAATGATCAGAGAAATAGCTGTTTCAGTTACCTAGCTTGTGAAAATACTTTGTGTCTCAGTGATTTTCCTACTGTTAAGAGGAGACTACATATTTCACATCTTTTAACAGCCTATGAATATGTTGAACCTAGAGATATAGAGATAAAAATGACAAACCTTTTGCAATGTAAAGGTGGCTAGAACCTGGTAGATAACAAACACTGGAAGAGCAGGTGTGTCGGGATGGGTTGATGTGTCTGAAAGTGAAGTAAAAAGTGCAATTTGTACACTCTTTATTAATCCGGCTGCAGTCTAAATTTTCTGTTTGATTGATAGTGTGTCTGAAGCCGCTTCAGCTTCAGTTTAGTTTTGACTCTCTGAAGCCGAACAGGAAGAGAATTTGATTTAGCGCTCCAATTTAGTGATTGTGATTAACATTCCTCCTTTTCCCACTTTCTAGTCTCACCATATCTCTGTTTTCATTACGACATCCTTCATTTCTCCTGCAGCAAATGTGTAGAGGAACAGCAGCTTTAAGAAAAGACTGGCAAATGTGATGTACAGGAGACTGATGTCAACATAAAGTGTTTAATCAGTGCGAGCGGACCGCTGGCTGTTTATACAGTCTGGATAAATCTAGTGTTCAGTCAGTCAGTGGGCTGTGTTCAGTGGATTCAAAAATCCTGAAGCTGCTCTAGTCAAACAGCAGAGATGTGAACAGGTTTTCCTCTGAGGTGATGACAAAATGAAAGAATGTAAACCGTTTTTCCTCTGTCATTAAAGCACCGGGACGTCTGTTGGTTAAATTGTTGCTCAGAAAACTTTATTTAAAAATATGTCAGTTAAAGCTGGGTTCAATTGCTTACAATTTTCAATACTAGTGCCACAGTGATACTGAGTTTGAAAGGTCCCTCTTGGCTAGGGGTGTAATGGTAGACAAAATTCACAGTTAGGTATGTACCTCGGTTTCAGGGACAGGGTTTGGTACGTTTTTAATACAGCAGAGAAAGTAAAAAAAAAATGTAGAAGAAAGTAATTTATTTTGAAAAAATGTAATTATTTAACAGTAACTCATCAGGTTAGTTTTTAGGTCAGTTTGGTTTAATTCTTACTTACTAATCCAATAATTAATGAATCCTGTGTTTTCTACAACCTAGTATGATCGCGTATCTGCAGCGATAACCCTATAATAACATATAGCATTAGTTGTTACTTTGGGACGGTCCACATCTGTGGTGAGATGGTGCCAGTTAGAGGACTGCATTGGGATGCAAATCTAGGGAGAGCAGGCGGTCAAAAAATATGTTGTGTGTGTTCCTGGGATTTAGCTTGTGTCCACCAGAGGGATGGAGAGTTATTTTATTATCCCAGTTGGACAGTCGGGGTACAGGATAAAAACAAAAGTATAGGAATACAAGAGTCTCAAACTCAAGGTGAAGGGGGTGGTTTGTACAGTCCAGTATAGACCTGGCCTTGTGGAGAAACTGCTGGTCAAAGATTGCCACATGCTGTTATGATTTTAGGTTTGGTTTGGTTGTTTCCTGTTTTATTGTGTTATTCTTCTCCTCCTGTGTCTTGTTTTACTTCACTTCCTGTCTTTGTCTGTTTTCCCTCCAGTTTTGATTGTAAGTCCCGCCCTGATTATTTCCACCTGTGTTTTGTTATCCTCCCCCTCACCTGTGTATTTATTTACTTATGTGAAGCTTTCATCCTGTTCCCTTGAGTTTCCTCGATGTTGTTTGGACTGCTATAACTTGGAGCAGTCCAAACGGATTTATTGGATTATATTTGGCTTGCTCATTTTAATTAGACTGTTCTTGACTTCAACCTTAAGTAAGTTTATGTTTCACCACATTTTGGTAATTAAATGATCTTAACTGCTCCTGTTAGTATGTCTTTGGGTCCAGATCCTCGTCTTCTACAACTGTGACACATGAATCACAGTCATGGTAACAGGCAGAATGACACTAGAAGGATGGTTTCACATTTTTTACCATGCTTATTGAAAATCTGAATTTAAGGGGCCTATAAGCATAATTTCATTACAAGAAGTTTGGAAATCAGTCATGATCCAGTGTGCAACTTACACAAGTGTGATGTAGAAACTTGAAGCCACCAGCATCCACTGAGAATAGACTTCACAGTGATGTAGGAGACATCTTGTGTCCAGCAGGAAAACATTAGAAATCAACAACATTTGCATATTTATAGATTGAGTAGATTACTTTTTTAAGGAGTCACTGTGGAAATGATCCTTAATTGCAGAAAAGGCATAAGCATATAAATCGCACATTATTGTTCCAAGCAGACTGCTTGTGTATTATGTCTTAATACATGTCTAGAGGGATGTTCAAATGTTGAATCTTAACTGACTGAATCTGCAGCTTTTGAGCAGTGGAGTTCACCTTATTAAAAGACTGCAAAAGCCACAGAAACCATAATAATCTGATAACTGTTGTAAATTGTTGGCGGCTGAGCTTTTGACCTTTATATACAGTGTATGTATAGACCTCCTTTTTATACTAAATATAACTCTCCTGCAATGGAAAGCATCAGCTGAAAGTGGCAGCCGTATAAACAGTAATGCATTGACTTGCAGATGTTGATACTGAAGCACCTTTGAACAGTGATGAGCTCTTTTGGTGTACAAAATAAATTAACTACACCTTCAGTGATGATAAATCTTTGAAGTGAGCTGAACAAGAAGTACTGAAGCAGCAAAGTGATCTGTGATAAATTAGCCAAACCCTACAACCCAATAATGCTGAATATATTTGGAACCTGGCCTGATATCAGTCCTGGGTCTTGGTGAAGACCGCTGTTTTTTTGTAAGTCACTGAGGAAGTCGGCCTTCTGTTTTGTATTTGATCGTATTTTGATCTGCCTCAGTTTTCATTTGCTGTTGATGGAAGCTCAACACTTCCATGTTTACCTAGTTTCCTCTCTGGACAGTCTGCATTGTTTTAGTTAAGAGCCCTGTAAGGGCTGAGACAGACCTGCCTGGCAGCCATAAAACTAATGTCACTTAGTGGTGGTTCTTCATTAGCATTATCCTCCCTCTGAGCTGGATGCAGCATAGTCTTTCAAATGGCTGTTTCTTGCGGTGCGTTGACATAAAAGGTTGACCCAGCTGTTGCCTCGCCTTCTCCGGCGCGTGCAGACAAACTGTATCTTGAGGCGGTGTGTTGCTGTGCACAGCAGCAAACAAATTCCACTGTGTTAAATTAGTGATGAGCTGTATGATTCATGTGTATGTGCTAGAGTCTGGCCAGCTTAATGAGGACAGAAAGGCCCAACAACATCACTTATCTAAAATTAGCTGGAGATGCCTCTGGGAAGGAGGAGTGGTGGGCGGGGGGGTAGCCAGATTTTGCTGATGCAGAGATTTCCTCACCCTGCTGCTGCTGCTCACCAGCGCTGTCACAGCCTTCAGCTTCTGTTGGGAGAAAATTGACTGACTGCGGGAGTTGGTTTTTAGTCTGTAACATGTTCTCAGCTAGGGTAACATAATATCTCACTGAGTAAACTCCGTAAGCCCTGTTTTTATGCCTGCATCATTTCCACAAACTGAAATATTCTAGCTGCAGGCATTCAAACTCAAGTGGGCTGAAAAAGATAACTGTTCCCAAACTGAACCTGACTATGGGGTTTTGCTGTCCTCTCTGGTACCATGTCAATTTCACCTCTGACCACAGCTGGCACCACCACTGTGTGTGTGTGTGTTCGAGTGTGGTACGAAGTGTGTTCGTTGCACCTGTAACCACACCCAACAGAGTTGTCCTGCAGTACGCCTGTGCATCAGTTTAACCACTTGGGGTCAGCAAAGATAGGATTTACAGTGGTTAAGTTACGCTTTAAAGTTCCAGTATGTAACATTCAGGAGGATCTATTGGCATAATAAGGAATATAATATGCATAACTGTTTCCATTAGAGTATCATCACCTGAATATAAGAATGGCTGGGTTTTTATTAGCTTAGACTGAGCCAATGAAAATAAAAAATACGCTGCAGCAGGTACAGGTTTAGAGAAGTGACCACACTGACCATAACAGCTCAGGAGTTTTGAATAGTTTAGGGACTTTTTTGGAGAAAAAAGAAGAGTTGGAGAAAAAGAAACCAAATGGAGACAGATTAGACCCGTTCCTGGTTAGTTTGCAGTGCATTGGGAGAAATTTTATCTTAAGCACGTGCAGGTTCAAAACATTTTTTAGGAATTATTTTAACTGACAAAATTGCTGCTTTATCTGTATATTTGTTTCAAAAAAACACATTGCCTTATTTTGATCCATTCATAGCTTTGAGAGAAATGTGCTTTAAAAGTGGCTATTTTTGACTGCATGGAAAGGAAACTCACAGCAGGCCTTTTCTGAAGATTTGTTCATATTTCAACAATTTAAACAATTTTACTGTCGGGATCTCTCACTGTTTATTACAGTGACACCTCGCTGAAATAAACACTGCCCACTCTCACGTCAAAACAAAGTGATGCATTTTTCTGAAAAGAGAACCTTCAGGGAAAAACATCTCTCAGCAGAGGCCATTTATTTAATGAGGTAATGGTTAAAAATGTTATCTGAGTGCTGTTTCACTAACCCTTGATAGTGGATTAAGCTGGGATTTTCCAGTTATCCTGGCTGAGTTTAGCTGTGACTCTGTTTCACCTGCTGCTCCAGACCAGACTAACAACCAGGCTTGATAAATCCTGTTGCCTTACCTCTTCAGTCAGGAGTCATTGCAATCGGAAACCAATGACCTGTTGTTTTTTTTAACACCAATATCACGTTCTTATGTTTGTAGTTGCATGTTTATTAGACTGCATTAAAATACTATTATTTTAACAATAAAATCCACAGGTAGGACTGCCATTCAGGTAAGTAGCCTACTGTTATAAGTTGGATTTT